AGAATACCTACACCACCACCGCCTTAACAATCACTGAAATCCCATACATGGGCTAACCTACTGGCTTCAACTCGGAATCATGAACTGGTATTGCTTGAGATAGGCATATTGGATAGAAGAAACCCCGCATCCACATTGTCACCATACCCAAAACAACATCCAGCATGGAAAGAAGCATTCACAACGTCGTCGTTGCGACGACGACTGGAGCGCGGAGTCACGCCCAGCGCCACCATTGTAGTAGTGTTGATGCTCTGCATTCGGAATAGCTCGTCGGAGATCAACTCATGGTGGTGTATCGATCATCGAAGCTTTAAGTTGGCACTCTATCGTTCGACTATTGACAGAGAGCATAAAGATGGCAAAGGAGAGAGCGAAGAGAGATAGAGAGAGATTTAGGTTTTGCACCTGATTTTTGAATAATAATCTTTTAAGACCCGCTATTGTGTAATTTCCACAAGTCAAAATGCATCCGTTATGGAGTTTTAAGGTTTCCGAAGTCTTGGGAACATCGACACAAATAGAATAAGAATTAGACATCTTATAAGCAGTATTCTTTTAAAAACTTTTAGACGTTCACTTGTACTTTTTAGAGAGAGAGAGAGAGAACATTATTTTTTGATCGAGTGTTGGAATGAAATGAATTCATTTGAAAAAGTTTCATCCTCTACCTTCAAGTCTTGAAATTATGTATTTTAAAATACAGTATTTCGCTTTAAATTACCAGCATTATGAAGTTTTTATTTTGCCACCTCTCCTTAACTCTTTCTGTCATTTGACAAAATATATAAATAACTTATTATTTGTCAAACATCATTTTAAATTATACATTTCAATGGACGCACAAGATTATTTACTTATTCACAACTCATTTATATCAATTTATAAATGAATCTGTTTATAAATTATTCCCAAATGGAGACTAAAATGTCAATGCTCTTTACTCCATGATCATATTAATTAAATTTTTATGAATATTCTATGTTATTATTGATCTTAGGTCTTAGGTCGTGAAATTTTTTTATTGGAAAAAAAACATAAGTCAAATATTAAGCCCTTGTTTGAGCCCCATTTTGAGAGAAAAATGAATTTTTGAATAGTGTATTGATAGAAAATGTGTTGTTAAAAAAAGGTTTTAGATTTGCGTGTTATATTATTTTATTGAAAAATGTGTGGTTGAAATAATGTCAAAACACTATTGAAAAATACATTTTTCCTAAAGAATGAGGCTCAAACAAGGGCAAAGTATGCACCAAATTAATTTTCATCCAATAAGTTTAAAAATACAAAAGTCAGGCTTTAATTCTAAAAAATAATATTCTCAAATTAAATTAATCTACTCACACCCACCACACCAAACAATTGTTCTCCACTAGGGATGATAGTGGTGCTGCCCTACCTCGCCTCGTCCAAAGCTCGTCCCACCTTAGATGAGGTGGGGCAGGACGCAATGTGGGGGATAGGGCGGCAGCTTGCCCCATTTATTTATTTTTATTTATTTATTTATTTTTACATTTTCAAAATTTCAAGTTATACTATTATGAGAGAATAAAATATAAATTCTTTTAATTTAATCAAAAGAGTTTGATAGTTGGTACGTGTTCAAAAATCCTAATTTTTCGCGCATTTCTTGGAAGTTTTGAACTTGGCCAGATTGCTTGGCATTGATCTTGCAACAATCAAGGGCTTGGTTCAAAAATTTTCATGAATCTTTTAATAATAAATTTTAGAAAGTCTATTAAATGGGTTGACATTATTTTATGAATCTTTTAATAAATTTTCATAATTTTTTATTTTTTTCTCTTCACGGGATGGGTTCGGGGCGGCCCCACCCCGCCAACCTGTTCGGGGCAGGTTTTTTTACCCCATTTGGGGTGGGGCTTTATCGGGGCGGGGCGGGGATCACTATTCTCCACCCCACACCCACCCTTGTGCACCCGCTCGTGGCCATCCTTTCTTACAACTATTGGCATCTGCCCGTCGACGACTTCGTTAGCGGCGAACTGATCAGCACTCAATGGAGAATAAACATCACCCACTCAGCTAGTAGAGATAGAGGGAAAAACATAGCCACTAATAATCACCAACTGATCATATTCTTCATCCGCGACTCAATAGTGCTGGTATAATTTAAAACAATCTTTTGAAAAACAATCCCTAGTGTAATTCGCAAAGTGCTTATGGGAGCAAAATAACTTCAATTTTCATTGTCAAAATCTGGTCAATTGAATTTATCACTAGTTAGGATAACTGAATTCCGAGAAATCAACGGCATGACGAAATCTTTTGGATTTATGACGTGTGACCTAAGCATTTTAACATATGGCTTGTAACCAAATCAAAAGGGTTGTGACCAAATCTCTTGGATTTGTGATATATGACCAGAGCCAATGGTCTACCTGTGACATGTGACCTATGTACTTAACATGTGACCTATGATCCGATTTAATGGCATGTGAAGTAATCTCTTGGGTCTGTAACCAAATCTTTTGAATCCGTAACCTATGCATTTTGACATGCACCCTGTTATATGTGACAATGACATAATCCAATGATAGGTGACCAAATCTCTTGAATCTGTGAGCTAATTCAATGACCTATGACCAAATCTATTGAATAGGTGACCTGCGGCCCGTGTAGTTTGACAAGTCACAGATTTAAAAGATTTGATCATAGAAATTCTATCGACTGGGAATGTAAACCCACCATCCAAAACTCCAACTACGGTCGAAACTCAATCGGTTAGCCAGACCACCACCATTACCCCTCTCTCGAAAATGCTCCCTATTGCTGAAACTCTAACGGCTGAGAAGGCAACCGACCCTACCACCAACACAATCTCCATAATTCAACCTACTATTCAAACTTAAACGGATGGGCAGGCAACCAATTATGTAGTATTTTCATCATTATGATTGAGATAAGATGGATTAAAATTAACTAAATTAATAAGGAGATAATAGTAAAAATTAAATAAGGTGATATTTCTGATTTTATGTTTGTATATAATTTCTAAAAATGAATATCGATTTTTTTAATATTTAAATTTGTCTGATAAAATTATTCAATATTAGAAATTTAAATTAGGAAAAATACATATTTTTATTGGAAAAAAGAAACCAAACATATTTTCTTAAAAATCATATAATTCCTCTATATCCTTTCACCCTCCTTGAGCACTATCACATCAAGAAAAGTTTGTTTTTATTTTAAAACTATAATTGACTTGGTGCAAAATTTACATTTCATCCGTTCTTTTCTTATTTTCATAGTTTTCAAATGATTTTAGGTTTGTGAATCCGATAACTAGAGTAATGTTTACCCTTTTCAAGGCTGGGCCTAAGCCAAAGCCAAATAAGCAATGGCTTAGGGCCTCACATCTAATTAACGGGGGCCTCCAAATGAAAACCATGGTAAAAGCTAAATTAAATTAGTATAAAATTAAAAGAGGGATTAATTAAAATTTTATTTAACAATATAGATGATTAATTACGAGCTATCAAACAAATCTAATATTATTATGGTAATATGATTTAATTTGAAAAGCAATATTACACATTCAGTAGTTTACTTTAATAAATTATAACTTAAATTTGACTTGTCCAAACTAAATTTTTCATGAGTCAATAATCTCCATAATACGATTTATCAAAAATAACCTGAATTTGCTACTTTATCTTTTGAATCATCCCAAGTTTTTGTTTAAGATGTAAATATATTTATTTAAATATTTTTACACACGTAAAAATTTTTTACGTTCAAAGGTCTCATAATAATGAATCGTCTAGGGCCTCAAAATTCTAAGGACCGACCTTGACCCTTTTCTGAACATGTAATCATATTTTCTGGTTTGATTGCATCAGATCAAGTCTTAGAATTGCATCCGACCTTTGAGAAATTGTGTTGATTACATCTATTTGATCAAATCGGTTCTATCAAACTATTGTCAAAGAACTGACCTTATTTATGCAATAATAGATTTTAAACTCTCTTGAAAGCCTATCACATCACATCTCGTAGGATCAAGTTGATTAAATCGTTAGCTCTAAGGATCATGCTACTTGTACATTGTCTTTTACATCATTTTTGACATTATTTCACGTGGCGATATATGATTGGACAATTTTTTGAACTCAACACACTTTTTCGCCAAATATATTTTGGATTTGTAAAGGATGACAAACTCTATGTAATCTATAGAATGTACAAGAAGCAATAATCACGCTAAACGCTAATTGAAAGTCGTCGATTTTGATCTAAAACCCCATTTGGTACCCCCTTTTTGTCAAAATGCATTTTTCTCTCTCTTTATTTCAACCACACATTCTTTATTAAAAAATATTATACGTAAATAAAAAAAATTTCCTTATTTTTCAACCATACATTTTCCATTAGGCAAAGGAAACGACGTTATTCTGAAAAATCGTCGGTGGTATATGCATCTTCTTGTTGATTGAACCGGAAATGACTGAAAGTAAGTGCTGTAGAGAAATCGACCGGCCGGTTTCTGTCTCCTCCTCTCCTTAATAAACTTTAAAGAGACTTCAATGTGATAATGTGTTGTAATTTATAGGTAGACTTTACAGCTGGAATGACATTGATACATCGTGTAATAGTTTTATCTGATCACGTGATAATGATAATGATGTTTTTAAGAATTGGATAGAAAATACTTCTCTATGATTATTATTGTTTCATTTTTTTATTTAAAGCCCAACTCTTGAAAAGTCAAAAACTACCTCTAAATTAAGAAGCTTTTTAAGAAGATATTTGAATAATTTTTTAAAAGTATTTCGTCTTACTATGAAACTCTCTTACAAAAAGAAGTAAAAATCCTACTAAACGGACCCTTAGTTGAACTGGGTCGAGTATCTCAACATAAAAGAAAAATTACATTTAAATTAATGAGCTAAAATTTCAACTGTAGTAAATAAAACCTACGGAAAGGCTAAAATTGCCCACCATCAGAAAACCTTAAAATTAATATACAAGGAATAAAATTAGAAACAAATTGATCAATTCTATTAAGGATATTCTCTTAAAAAATCAAAGCAGCATAGGCTTTCACAGTGTCTGCATCATGCGTTGTGAATCAGTTCTCTAAACATACAAAAATACTAGAAACATAAACGATTTCCGTACAAAATTGTGACAAGGCAACGCTTGTGAAGCAAAAACAAAAATCTTGCAACAAATTATAAATTCCACTGAACTATGTATATTTTGATCTGTTCTAGACAAGCAAAAATGTTATGCAGACTCTTCTTCACGGGGCCATGAGTCGTTCAATCGTATACGAAAGCGACTCTGCCCAATCAGCTTTAAAGAGCAGTGATTTTAGTGTATGCATTACGTTGTAATCTGGATCAAGCTTCCGCTGCCAACCCTACAAATAAAAGCAATTAAAAAAGGAAGAATTACTACAATCCCACAACAGAATTTGTTTATTCTTCAAATAGAGAGAGGTTATGTTATGCATAAAATCAGGACATAGTAGCTCCTTCAACATATAGACAAAAGGTGATGAAGCAGCAAGATAGAACAGGCATTAAATTTGCGAAGGATTAAGGTCATTAAGCTCTAATCCCAAATTCGAAAGCAATGATAGAAAAAAGGAAATCAGAAACACGAAAAGCGCGCACAGAGGTTTGAATGGTTTACTCTCAATGCGCGAGTGTAGTGTATCACTATATTGAAGAAGTGTACAGATCCCACGCGTCTCGTCACAAAAATGACTATCCTCTAAAATCCTTAATATAAATGTATGGTAAGAATATTATGTAACTTAATATATGTATGGACTACATAATATAACCTGTGATCCACATTCAAGAAATAAGTAAACAGCATGATCAGGCACTACATATCCAACATAATTCCTAATGTTCTCTCCAATAAAAGGATGAAATGTGAAAATACTATTGGCTGTGTTCAAGAACTAACCTCGTGACTGAACAAAAAAATTTCTTTCCATGAATATTGTGAATCAAATATGTACCACAATTACTAAAATTTTATGAAAAGACTACCTCAAGAACCAGAACTGTCACCATCACTGTGCAAACATTGCCATCAATGTTAACTTTATGATGCCTAACTTGCTCAAGTAATTGCTGCACGCACTCAGCAGGATGGACCAAATCACCTTCTGCAGTCCCCCAAAAATCAAATGACTCCTTCACTTCCTGTTAAAGCAAAGAAATCAATGAAAACCACAAAATTTGTCAAAGACCATAGTGAAATTGCAAGGCAGAAATGACTCCTATACTCGACTCCAACTGCATCTTTTACAATCTTTATCTATTTCAAAAATAAGTGGTTGTGGATGAAATTCACCCGAATGAAGGCCTCTGGCTTTGGGCAGCTCTGTTTCTTTGACAATTTTAGTGTGCACTCTGCTGCAGTTTGGCCATCTCTACAGGCAACAGCCTTCAAGAAGTCTACTAAATTCATCCTATCATTCTTAGAAAGTTCAGCAATCATGCCTACATCAAGGAATACGACCTGAGGCTTAGATTTGAAGAGCTGCCTACGAGAATGCATGCTCTGGGATCCACGAACAAGGATATTTCCAGGATGCATGTCAGCATGAATAAAATTGTCTACCTGCCAAGGAAAAGAATAAAAACATCTCAGAAAACAGGCCAATCCATAGATTTTCATAGGTATATCGTTATCTCATTCTAGCAGAGGTATTCAGTTTAACTTATTGGTCAAACAGTACGAGTATGAGGCAGTAGTGACTCCTAAAATGCTAACTACTTAATGCAAAAGCATTGGAAATGATCTCCACGTAGCATTAGCAAGTAAGCAAAGCCAAGATTGAGCATTAAGCATTTTGTTCACATAAGTTAAATGCTTAACCCCTAATAATATCTTCATCATTGTTACAGCATAACACGACCTAAATTGTCAAGCAGATGCAAATCAGTTATTCTCCATCAGAAGAATATCTAATCTATTTGTATGCTCAAAGTTATGAATCTACATAATAACCCCCCAACCTGCCCCCCCCCCCCCCCTCCAAAAAAAAAAAATAATAAATAAAATTGAAATGGCAAATTATGAACTGCGTATCACTGTATATATACCAAACACATACTGTGAAATCACTGAAATGAAACTACTCTGCTAAATGAAGAAACCCAGGCAGCTGCTCATTCCCCCCCAACCCGCCCCCCCCCCCCCAAAAAAAAAAAGAAAATAAAAAAATAAAATTGAAATGGCAAATTATGAACTGCGTATCACTGTATATATACCAAACACATACTGTGAAATCACTGAAATGAAACTACTCTGCTAAATGAAGAAACCCAGGCAGCTGCTCATTTCAACTGAATTGTTGAGTGCAGTAACATCTAAAAAGGCTCAATTGGGTCCTAAGACATTTAACCTCTATAAGGTTGGATTAATCCTCAACTCAAATCAATAAAATAATTCAAAAAGAATATAAAGATACAGATATATGTTTCAATTCCTGTAAACCATCTTGAAAAGCCATAATAAAACAATTTAACAAACAGAAAATAGATCGATAAAATGCAAATAATAAATTGTCAAATTAGTAAACCACATAACAAAATTGATAAAATCCATTATTATTGCCTGTATTAAGTCAAGATGTAAGCCTTGATAAACGGAACTCAAGGTGTGAGCTTCAAAGTGCTTAAAGACAGCTTCAAGAGAGGACCAGAAGGCATAGCCTTGGGAGCTTTTCAAATGCCATGAGAAATGTTAACAGGATGGTGCAAAAAAAATGGGCCGCAGCTAATTCACATTGTTATAATCAGTGAAGCTGCATTAGCAATTTTCATCACATGGAAAAATCAAAATCACTTCTAGAATAATTCACCACATAAAGAAGTACAAGGAAATAGTTGTAATTATTATTACCAACTCACAGGGCATAAGAAACATGAAAGGCATTGAAAAAAAAAAAGAAAAAAGGAAAAAAGAAGATTAATATGTTACCAGGAGCATCTTCAGCAGTGCATTGGTTCCAATGTGTGCAAGAGCACTTTTGATTTTTTCATTTCCACGGAGTTCATCAACATAATGAGAAACGCTTTCACCATGCTCAAAAGTTTCTACCAACACGGCAGGATGTACTAGCGGGTATAAAGGCTTTGGGAAAGAAACGTTCTTCGATCTGCGAAAATGATATTTGAAGTGGCTCAAATGGGCAGCTTCTCGTGCAAGATCAACTTGAGACATCACAAAAACCGAAAACTGCTGGACACTCTCATCCAATCTTAACCATTTCAGTGTAGGAATGCAATTTGAAATTTTTGCTACAATATTAATTATCTCAAAATCCCTTTTTATTGAGTCGCCAACTCCTGGATGTCTCACCTTCACCGCAACAAGCATAGGTTTGATCTGACAGCCATGGTATCGAGACCGCAAAGAAGCTCGATGCACTTGAGCGATGCTCCCAGAGGCCACAAATATAATGCTCTCAGCAACAAAGAAATCCCTTCCAACATGGAAAGAATCAATGAGGTCAAGAAAACATGCCCATCCTGAGCACTCGCGTACAAATAATTCCTCGGCTGGAAGATATCTATGTCTGACACCGCTTGCGCCCAAGCTACATTGCTTCCACAGGTTAAGGCAAATATACCAGGAATGACAACATAAGAACGGCAAAGCGCCAAGCTAACAGCTTGTGCAATCCTACTTATGGGCAACAAAGATCTCCCACTGTGTAAAGCCCAATGTAACAACCTCTTCCACGTAACTTGGGTATGATGTGCTAAAGTATTACTTGCAGGTGCGGAAGAAAAATGCTTGAAGTAGCTATTGCAGTTCTGGTTCCATGAATAGCAAATCCAGGAAGTCTCCTGCTAGGACTAATATATTGCAAGTACAATTTGTATTGACGAGAACATAACCCTGGTCCAACAAGTGCTTCATAGTTTGACCATTCAGCATTGTTGCTAATCTGATTTTTGCGCAAAAATTGTCCAACTCTCCTAATATTCCCAATTGTCAGAAATCTGCATTACCATGAAGAGTTGGAGAATACCCACCAACAAGAAATTTTCTTTTCAAATAAGTAACAACATATATGGTGTAGTACTCATTTGAACCCTATTCACATGTTTTCACCGAGTTGACATATTCAAACGACATTCAAAATTGATAATAGTAGCACACTTCAAACTTTAATATTTGCATTGAATCATTCAATTAGCAGTGTACAATCTTAACCAGCAAAATAGGGGAACTCTTGATTTTAGTCAGAATAAGAGTTTCCCACAATTTCAATACTCAATGCTTTTACTCGCATAACATGAAAAGAAAAAACATTTCATTTCAAGAAGTTCATCAATTATATAAGCATAATCAAAATCTGCTTCGCTTAAAACCACAGCTCTTTCAAGAAGCCCAGAGTATATAAGCATATATAAGCACAAGCATTTGCATTGATATAGCATATTAACTGAAGTAAATACTAAACTGCCTTTCAGAACAATGGTAGAAATACACCACTTTGCAGAATATGGAAAAGATTCAAAGGCAGATTTCAAACATTTTAAAAACAGCGATATTGTATAATCAAAGACATGAAAAAAATATTGAAAACATAGACATAATATTGGCAAGAAAAATCGAAAATGGAAGAATTCAATCTACAGGAGGAGTAAGGTATCGACCACGAGCATTCTCTACAGATTGCCGGAAAATAAGATTGAATCATATCGATCTTCCAATATAATATTCAGAATCTGCCACCTAAAACAATTACACCATCTGCAATCAGGTTCATTCTTCTTACAAATAGTCCGTTAATTGGTAAAGATACGAACTTTTCTTATGGGTTTATTCAAAAGAAGTTATGCAAAAGGATATAGAGATTTATTTTGCACCAGCGCCGAAGGATGGGAAAGGAAGAAAATTTGTCACTTGATTTGGCGTTCAATTTGGAAGGTTCGGAGTGTCTGATTAGTGGACCGTATGGTTTAGGAATTTCAAATTTGGGCACTCTTTGGGGCTGTAGTTGAATCTTCAAGAGTATTACAGTGTGATTTCTATTCCTATAAATCTTTGATAAATTTACTAAGGGATCGTTTGATTGTAAAGATGGAATTGAATTAAATTGAAGACAAATTTCAGAGAATTGAATTGCCTAGAATTTATTTTCTTGAGAATTGTAAATTATTATGTTTGATTGGTATAATTTTCCACATTGAAAATATTGAAATAAAAAGTGTTTTTTTGGTATTCTTTTGGCTTTGTTTTACATGAAAATTATCAAGTAAGGGGATAGAATTTACTGGGATTGGGGATGAAATTTGTTTCCATTGCCAAAAAAAAAATTCAAAAAAATCATCTATTTTTTGATGTTCTTTTGGCTTTGTTTTACATAAAAAAATTTAATTAAAGGAAAATATTTTTTTACAATACTTCTTAGAATTTACCAATTCCCAATACAAGCAAGAAAATACAATTCCATGGAAAATAAAACATAAGAAACACACAAAATTGGAAAAAATGTGGAATTCGAATTGCATTTTGTATGGAATTCGAACCAATCAAACAGACCCTAATTTCAATAAAGGGTAATTGGCACGTCGTTAACGGTGCGTGAAACGATCAATCATAGCAAATGTTATGGGACGTCAAAATAGGCATTTTCAAACTATATTTCAAAATTTTCGATAACAAGCTAACTTTAAAAATTCATCAACGATTGTACGATAGTCAAATCGATAAATGTTTTACATTCTCTCGAAACTCATTTTGAGAACTATATCGTAGAGACATCAAATGATCTAAATAGATATCGAAAATAGTTAAACGAATATTAAACGTATGTGTTAAAAAACACGCATAAGTTGTTTTTTTTAAAGAAATCAATTATTTTATTACTATTTCGAAATTTTCGATAACAAGCTAACTTTAAAAATTCGTCGACGATTGTACGATAGTCGAATCGATAAATATTTTACATTCTCTCGAAACTCATTTTGAGAACTATAACGTAGAGATATCAAATGATCTAAATAAATATCGAAAATAGTTAAACGGAGATTAAACATATGTGTTAAAAATGTGTATACGTCATTTTTTCTTTAAAAAATTAATTATTTTATTACTATTTATTCTTTTTTCGCAACAATTTTTTCAATGCATCATTTTGCTCAAAAAAAATTATGTGGCATGACGGAAATTTTTTTCTCCATGCACAGAATGAATATGTTTTTTTCATCATTTTATATATTGAATTATTACTAGAAAATTAAATTTTATCTCAAACTATTAAAAAATACTGATTAATAATAAAAAATTTGAAGAAAAAAATTAAAATGAATTCTAAATTAAAAAAAACTATTATTTATAACGTAAAACTACACAGAAAAAAATTTCTGAAATCTAAGTTTCTATTTGGAACTATTAAGAGAAAAGAATTATAAATTGAAAAAAAAATTATAATGCGAGCAACAAAAAATAAAATTCTTTTTAATTCTTTTTTCTTCAAATTTTTTACTTAAAAGTCAATTTTTGTAAAATATTTTTTTATATAAAAGTAATTTTTTTCTTATATCCCTACTATATATATCTATATAACTGTGGTTGAGCATGGAGTGGTGGGGGGTATGAAAATTATGTGTTGCAACAGTTTCTTACAGTATAATAAAATTTTTTAAAGTAAAATTTTTTTTATATATATTTTATTACTATAAAATTAAATATTATCTGAAATTATTAAAAAATAAAAATACTAATAATATAAGATAGAAAATATTTCTAAGAGGTAAAAAGTTACTTGTGAGTAAAAAAATTAAAGAGAAAGAAATTTAAAAAGAATTTTAAGTTGAAAAGAAAAATTATTTATAATGCAAATCAAAAATAAGTTTTTGTTTGGAATTATTAAGAAAAAAGAATTTTAAATTGAAAAAAAGTTTATAATGTAAACAACACAAATATTTAAAAAAAATAAAAAATGGTTAAACGGACATTAAACGTATGTGTTAAAAAAAATACGCATAAATCGTTTTTTCTTCAAAAAATCAATTATTTTATTACTATTTCGAAATTTTCAATAACAAGCTAACTTTAAAAATTCTTCAACGATTGTAAGAATCATAAATGTGTTACATTCTCTCGAAACTCATTTTGAGAACTAGATCGTAGAGATATCGAATGATCTAAATAAATATCGAAAATAGTTAAACGGACATTAAATGTATGTGTTAAAAAATGTGTATAAGTCATTTTTCTTAAAAAAAATCAATTTTTTTATTACTATTTATTATTTTTTCGCAACATTTTTCTCAATACATTATTTTGCTCAAAAAATTTATGCGGTATGACTTAATTTTTTTCAATTATTTAAAATTTCATTTTTTTCCAAGTGGGGAGCAAAAACAACGCGTTCCTTCTTGCATAGAGTGCATGGATAATTTTTTTTTTACATTATTATAGAAAAAAAAACTATATCGTCGTAGTTGGATATATCTAATAATTTCAGACAATATTTAATTTTATAGTAATATTTTTAGTAATATTGAATTTTTTAAATTAAATTAATCTAAATATTACTTTAGATTAATATATATATATATATATATATATATATATCATTGTAGTTAGTTTATATAGTATAAAGAGGTATTAGCTTTTATTTAAAAAAGAAGAAAAAAATAAGAGGACTGAGCCTCCGTGCACGGAGACCCATGGATTTTTTTTTAATTATGTTTTTGTGTTCATTTTCAGGCTCATTACGGGATATCAAACGAAGTCGAAATATTACATTCTTAATATCGTTTTGAAGTACTCGCGGTATAGTATTGCACGTCGTTAACGGTGCGTGAAACGGTCAATCATAGCAAATGTTATGCTACATCAAAGTAGGCAATTTCAAACTATATTTCGAAATTTTTGATAACAAGCTAACTTTAAAATTTCGAATCGATAAATGTTTTACATTCTATCGAAACTCATTTTGAGAACTATATCATAGAGACATCGAATGATCTAAATAGATATCAAAAATAATTAAACGGACATTAAACGTATGTGTTAAAAAATACGCCTAAGTCGTTTTTTCTTTAAAAAATCAATTATTTTATTACTATTTCGAAATTTTCGATAACAATCTAACTTTAAAAATTTATTGAAGATTGTAAATAGTCAAATTGATAAATGTTTTACATTCTCTCGAAACTCATTTTGAGAACTATATCGTAAAGACATCAAATGATCTAAATAAATATCGAAAATAGTTAAACGGAGATTAAACGTATGTGTTAACAAATACGTTTTTTTCTTAAAAAAATCAATTATTTTTTTCTTTTTAATTCTTTTCTCTTCCAAATAAAACTTAATTTTTCAGTTTTAATGAAAAAGTTATTTGTAGGTTAAAAAAATTGAAGAGAAGAATTTAAAAAAATTATATATAGTGTGGTCTTCGTGCACAAAGGATTATTCAATTTTTTTTTTTTTACTTTTCCGTTCTCCATTTTCATACGCTATGGCCACGCCTTTTCAAATCAACTCATTTGCTTATATTATTGTATTATATATATAGTGTAAGAGAGGCAATGTGAATCTATCTAACACACAGCTTTCCATACCTCCCGCCTTACTCCGTGCTGACCACTTTTATAAGTAAAAAAAAAAAAAATTCACTTTTAGTATAAAAAAAAATTTAAAAATAAACATATTAACAAAAAAATATTTCTAATATATGTAAAAATTACTTATATAAGTAAAAAAGTTAGTTTAAGATTATTTAGAAGTAAAAAAATAAAATAAAGTTATGAAAATTAAATGAAGGATATATAAATATTATTTAATTAAAATTGAAAATTTTACTTTATAAATAATTGGTTTTTCCTATCAATTTATTTAAATTTCTTTTTAATTCTTTTCTCTTTCAAATTAAATTTATTTAAAATTTTTTTTAAATTCTTTTGCCCTACCAACCTTGGAGTGACTGTTGTATCGTCCGAAAAATAGGCCTGCTGTTAGGGTTCTAATTCTTATACAAACAAGGGAGTTGGCCATCCAGTAAGTGCCACTTCAAGTTATTTTACGTGCGAATTATTTAAATGTTTGTGTATGTGGATATTCTCTTTCAATTTATAACTGCATGGGTTAGTCTCCATGCACGAAAACACTGTCTCCGTGCACGAAGGGGTAAAGAAAAAAAATTTAGTTGAAACCTCCGTGCGCAGTGCATGGAGACATTTGCCTCCATGACAAAGTTTATAATTTTTTTTTATTATAAGTAATTGTTCTTTTTATCAATTTATTTAAATTTCTTTTTTATTCTTTTCTTTTTTAAATAAAACTTAATTTTGCAATTTTAACAAAATAATATTTATATATATATTTTTAAATTTTTGTAATTTTTAAAATTATTTAAAATTTTATTTTTTTTCCAAGTGGAGAAAAAAACTACGCCCGTGCATAGAGTGCATCGATTTTA